CCGTGTATGCCATGTAATTGTCTCTACTCGGGGTTTCAGAACTGTGTGTTTTCACATCTCCATTTCTCTGTTTTTCTGACCTATGTATCCTTCGGTATCAAGTCTCTAGATGGATCATTTTATTACGTCTCTCATTTTGGCTTTAAGGAATTTGTCATGCAATTGTTCCTCTTTCTTTTTCTGTGTCTAAGGATTGTTTGTGTGTCGTGTAATAGCATCTCTGCATCTGTTCTGTAGGAATGTGTACGTCATATAACCATCAACTGGACGAAGAGTCAGCCGCTTACATCAAGGATCAAGAGGAAATCAAGTCCATCGTGAACGACGTGTGGTTCAAACACGCGACCAAGATAGAGCAACAAGAGAAACTGGACGGGGCACTGCCAGCCATAAATGTCCGGCCACGACTAGATAATAACTCCGGTGTTCACATCAAAAAGCCAGACAAACTGCCACCAATAACGAGCAATCCTCTCCAGAAGAAGTCGTCTTACTTAGAAATGTATGAAAAGTCTAAAGCCAAGAGGCACAACAACAAAACACAACCCAAATCTGCAACAAAGAAGGTTCATTTCCTAGGCGAATCAGAATATGGCGGCCTTGTTTAATTCCTGGACAAAGTCGCATGCCGTATTGGAGTTAGACAGTTGATAGTGCAGTAGACCTGCTGTCCTTCCCAGTGGCACCCCAGGCTCAGTATATACAGGTCACTCATCGTCTCCTACTGAAGGTATTGCAGGAACAAAGTGAAAAGAATTTTTATGATGAACTCCTAAACAGTGTTTACTTCTCCCCTTTTTATGTCCATCTCAAATTCTATGCTTCACGTTATTTGTCCATGAAATAAATTAACACAATTGTATATAATAAATATTTTACTGTACAAAACAGGAATTATATTTTGAACAATATGTAAAATACACACATAAATATATCAATCGATTAAAGCATCGTAATTTACAGTATGGCAATATTCGGCGCCTTCTTTGAGTAACAAAGAAGAATGAATGAAGTCCCACAAATAATGAAGCTTTTTTTCCTGCACCGTTATGAAAATCATCTTGAAGCCTCATTATTTACTAGAGAAAAGCTGCATCTACAATGGAGTCAACAGATTAAAAATCATGACATTCAACGGCTGCACAAATTCAATTATCAGAGAAAAAAAGGCAACATTAACCGATTAAAGTAAATATAATATCTATAAATATCCTACCACAGTATCCCCTAACGCCTGGAAACTACCGCGCCGTGGCGCTGTATGTCTGGGTTCAGAAAAACTAAACAGACTTCCGGTGCTACTTTTCCGCTCACAGCGTTCCGAGTCCTACGATATAAATGCTGAATTAAAAATTGTTTTTGAGTTACAAATAATAAACAAAATATTCCTGCATTACAAAGATACAATGAAGCCATTGGCCAATGTCCAAACAATTTTTGTAATATCCAACTTCCAAAGGAAGAATTCTTGTCTTATTTGGCATAGGTTCAATATACGGTAAAACTTGTTTAATTTAATCTAGAAACCCCTGTTTCCAAAGATATCAGCCGGACATAATACAATTCTCTGGATCAGACATTTTAATCAACTAATGTTAGTGAAAGGAGTTAAAGGATATTGGAATACAAAAGATCCGGATTAGAAAAGTTTCACTGTAAATGGAAGGACTGTTCCAGCTATAATATTCCAATACCAATACAAAAATGACAGTTCTGAAGCGTGCATGAAGAAAATATTTACATTATTTCAAGAAATAATACGAGTATTAAACACTGAATAAAATAGAAACAAATAAAACGACCATGCAGTTCACAATTCTTGGACAACAAATTAAGCGCAGTATTTAGCCTTATAAAGCTCATTAGTTGTGGATGTTTCAGATTGATTTGTTCAACGTGTTAAGCATTGTCAATTTTATGTCCTTACGTGGTTATACTGCCCCATGTTCTGGAGACTCGGCCGTCGGTTTCTATCTATGTATCCCCCATCATCCGGGGTCAGATTAATGGCGGGGGTACCGCCACCTGGCGGCACTAAGCTGAACCTCCGCAGTGGTTCCTTGCTAGACACCGTCAGCATTTCCTTTTCCTGTAATAATTATATTTTACGCAATGACATTACGCAATAATTAAAGCAACTCTCGATACTTACATATCTAAGGAATATTAACTGTCTTATTTTTCGATTTCATGAAGTGAAGGCGTTTATGCATAAAATTATCACGCAAGCCAATCGATTGATCATCTTCATAAAATTGAAAAATCTGACAGTTATTCCTTATATTTACATGCTTTGATTCCGCCAGTCCACGTGCTCCAAGCCCTGCTTCTGTCTAGCTGTTTGTCCCGCCCTGCACGTGGTTTTTTTGGAACCGCGCCAATACATTGATGGAGAAATAAAGTACATTTACATTTGGTAATTTTATCTCGGACAAAGACATTGGAAATGTAAATATTATGTAGTAAACTGACTACAAAAATAACCAAGTTGTATTGGAATGAAAACATAACTTGCAGCAAGGATAGAACATGAGCTCGATTAATAGTAACAAATACTGAGTATACTTCCCCCTTTATGATTGATTAGGGTGACGATAAGGAACAGTGACCGATCGATTTTAAAAACTTGAAAGCAATAAAAATCTATCTAGAGGAAATAGACATGGGACCCTGGAAACTCCAGAGGTGGGATTAGGTGCTTATGAGGAGTAAGCATCCCCTGTCATACCCGCTGTGAGCCCTATGTATCGATCATGTAGACGGAACATTCTGTAGTCAAATTCAGTATAAATACAAAGGTCTAACGATTGGTATGAAACAAGTCAATCAAAACACGACTCGGTGATAAGATATACGTATGTAATTATTGATAATAGCGAGCGCAGCGAGCGTCGCGAAGCGACGCTCGTAACTGCGAGCTCTAACGACAACGCCTGGGCGACGAGAAAATTCGGACTACTGCACATTCATTCTTTAGAATTTTTTGCCGCAGTAATTTTGAACCATAATGCATCACTTAGTAAAGCTGCGTTCTCGCGAGAATGACGGCAAATGTTCAACAAAAAGTTTACTCGCCTTGATTAAATGGATAAATATTGAAGATAAATAGTAAACGTAACTTTTTTCATTAACTTTCAGCACTGTTCAGTTTATTCTTGGTATATGTAACTTACATACGACGTCATGTGACGTCAGAGTCTAGACGCACAAAATGTCACGTGCGGTTTGACGAGCCCGATCTAAATGAAAACAATAGAAGAGTTTGCGCTCGCTCTAACGGTCGCACCGTCAACATATTAAGCTCATTGTAATGATCAAAGAATTTACAAAATACTGGCTTGAAATCCGTGTAACACCAACTTATCTGTCAGTAGCCTACTTTAGTAGAAAAACCGATTATACTCGGAATATATTATGCCGATTATCTGTTATACTTTAAACTTCCATGACTGTTCTGACACTGAATATGTCGATTGTTGTTGTTCATTGACATATATATACTAGTAATCTCCACATCAGACAGACTGACCTTTGATGACAGTTCAAACTGCATCTATATTTGAATTATTGTTCTTTGAAACAACAAACTACCTAGTAATCCTTAATATGTTTTAGACATTTTAAACCTAGAGTAATTTTCTGTATAATTTATGATATGATATTATATATTTATATTTTATCTTATTACCTTTAACTTTGAGAGCTCCGGACTGTTAGGCGCTGGAAAAAAAGTCAAGAGTATTTTACAATTCACGATTATATAAATCTGTATCATAATTTTATTTTTTTTTCTTAATAATTGCATAGTATTGAAACATCAAAATAACATTCACCTATAATCAATAAGTTAAAATTCATAAAATCTGAGAATTTATGCTAGAAAATAAATCTTAAGGTGTGATTCTTCTCTGGTTTCTGACTTGATGATATATTCAAAGTTCACTTACTTATACGTCTTATATATTTAGGTGTAAGAGATTTAAAAGACCATATTTTTCTTTCCTCATCACAAATGTACAATTTATACGTTTAAAAACTTGCAGGGACTATATACTTGGCGGAATGGTGGCGTATAAAAATATCTTCTTTTCTGCTTCTCAAAATTATTATAGAACAGTGAGTCCAATTTATAATTTTTACACAATCAAAGACTTTAAGAACTTTTCAAATGTAAGTTTAATTAATAATAAGGGACTAAAGTTCTTAAATATATCAAATAAATATGATTTTTCAAACAAACTAGAACTATGTTAGCTTAATAAACTTCCAATTTGAATACAGATTTGAGCCAAAAATCCGTAAAAAGTATTTTTTTTCTCTCTTCAAAACTTTTTTTTTTGTATCATTTTGTATCTTTATGTGACAACTTTACCATATGTGAAAATGAGAAAATTTTAAATATAGGAAGCATATAAAAATAACTAATATATCTGAAAAATTGAAGAAATAGAGAAATTTCGGATTAGCCAATAACCATTTTAGTTAAATTATTTATTTCAATTTGGTAATATCATCTTATAGGCCCTTTATGGTAATATCTTTTGATGAAAAAAGAAAATCAATCAATCTTTTGCAATACAAGTAGGGATCGCATAATAGGCATTAATAATTTTTTTTATTATTAATGTCCAGGAAAAAGGTAATGACCTTGACCTGAACTTGTCTCTAATATAAAACGGTCAATTCTAATTTCACTGATACCATCACTTGTAATATTGTCTTCTTGATTCTGTGAAAATTTCATTAATTTTTGAATACAAGAAATATGAGAAGAATCGTACCTCAAACCGTAACTTAATTATTTGAAGTATTTGACAGATTAGTATAAACTAGGTTACAACCACAACACCATTCATCAAACTATGGAGTACTTTATAAACACATCACAGGTCTCGGTAAAAAATAAATCCATGTAATAATGGAAACTTAGATTTAAAAATATCAAAATATTGATTTCAAAAATATCTAAAATATAAACTAAGAATGCTTAATCAAAAAATTTTACAGGGCACATCTCTGTCAATATAATGGGTTCTAGTTCAATCACAAAGTTACTCTGAAAAGGTCCTAAAAATGTTCTCTTACAAACGGATTGAATTATGAACACCATTGTAAAGGAACAAAATTTTCACGTGCGAATGTAATCCATGTAATTTATGTCAATTTTATTTATAAGTTTTAACAGAAAGGCATTATATGGTTACACCATTTTATGCAGAAAGAAAAACGTTTAATTTTTTAAGTAAGGTAAAGGAAAAGGACCTTGACCTGGCCTTGCTCCTAAAATAAAACGATCAAATTTAGTCTTATTGATGAAACAACAGAGTGATTTTGTTTTCTTAAATTACGAAAATTCCTGTAATTTCTAAATACAATATTCTGAATATATGAGTAGAATCTCATCTTAACCATATACTTTATATAATTGACAATAATAACATGGTATATTCTCGAAATCATATGTATAATTGTAAGATACTTTGCAAGATTTTGAAATTTCAACTCGCCCTAGTATTCTGCAAGAAAATTAAATGACCCAAGTGTATAAATCAACCTACCATAACATGATTATGAATAAAGATGATGTATTCTTTTCCACTATGAACATTGATTTAATGTGAATACCTGTGTACATTGACATTGCCGAGATTTTTCTTTCAATTCTTCATAAGAAAGAGGAGAATACCACTCGAACACGCCATTTGATATATAATGACAAAGGAATAATATTTTTGTAAAGGAAATTCTATTTTTACTAATGCCTATAACATATCCAAATATTGCAGGTAATCATGCATTCATAATGCTCCTCTAAAATACATAATCAAGCTTTTAAGAATCAAATTTCCGAGAAATAAATAAAAATCTATTCTAACTACACGCCAGCACAAAGCAGGCGGACAAGCAACTGAGCTAGTTTATCTGGTTCTACAGTTCTGCATTCTCTACGGGAAAGGTCGCGTGTTACCTTCCTGACTGGAGTTTCGGGAGAGCCTGCCTCTAGTCAGTGATGAAATGGAGCATTCTGGGAAAGGGAGAACTAGACAAATATGGTCACGGTCTGGTAATCAGTAGCCATGACAACACTCACACACACAAAGTATTTTGTTCACAATAATAAATATTTTAAAATCTTTATAGGTAATTCAATTATTTACAATGTTCAATCATGTTTCCAAGACAAATAAAGCGAACTATAGCGCAGTTGACTTTTAGAATTATCAGCCTAAAATAAGAATCACTTGGATAATAACTAAAAAACTCAACTAACCTGTTCGGCTTTTCTGGATACCAGAGGGTGAAGAGTTACCAACAAACAGCAAATTTTTGTCACTGCCCCCGGATGGCGCCAATCTTTCCCTAAATTAAATGATACAGTTTAAATTAGTCCCTTAATGGTGAATAGGCTTCTCTTTGTTTGTCCGTCTGTTTGTTAAACTGAAAGTCAGTCACACTTAAACCCCTTTTTTTCTAAACGCTTGCAGATATTGAACTGCATTTTGATATGCAAGTGTACCTTGATGAGTAACAGACATATGCAATTCTTTTTAGCTTGGGTAGTTATTGTTAAATCAACATTGTACATTATAGGGAAAATATTGCGGAAATCGTGGTCTTTAAGCTTGATTTGGTGACAATGATGATTAAAAAATCACATTCATTGGTCAGAATTCAATCTGATTAGTTTTGTGTGTCCCATGGCCCTTTTGTTTTGTTTATGTCATACATACTCATACCGATTTTTACTATTAATTACAATATTTATGACATAAGAACTCGGTAGACATGAGGACAGTTTTGGGAAGTATTTTACCATTGGGGCCTAGAACTTTGAAAGCTATTGGTTGACAAACAGTATTTTACTATAAGGGCCTAGAACTTTGAGTGCCTTTGGTTACCAAGAGTATTTAAGTTATGGAGAGAACTTTGAATGCCGTCATTGACGGGCAGTTCTTTACCTTTGGGGCTTAGAACTTTGAGTGCTGTTGGTTGCGGGCAGTATTTTACATTTTGGGTGTATAAAGAACTTTGAGTGCCGTTGTTTTGCAGACAGTATTTTACTATTGGGGCCTAGAACTTTTAGTGCCGTAGGTAGGCAAACAGTATTTTACTATTAGGGCCTAGAATTTTGCGTTCCGTAGGTTAGCAAACATTAAATTTATTTTACTATTGGGGCCTAGAACTTTGAGTGACGTTGGTTGGCAAATAGTATTTTGCTATTTGAGCCTAGAACTTTGAGTGTCGTTGGTTGGCAAACATTATTTTACTATTGGGGTCTAGAACTTTGAGTGTCGTTGGTTGGCAAACATTATTTTACTATTGGGGTCTAGCACTTTGAGTGCCGTTGGTTGGCAAACATTATTTTACTATTGGGGCCTAGAATTTTGCGTTCCGTAGGTTAGCAAACATTATTTTACTATTGGGGCCTAGAACTTTGAGTGACGTTGGTTGGCAAATAGTATTTTGCTATTTGAGCCTAGAACTTTGAGTGTCGTTGGTTGGCAAACATTATTTTACTATTGGGGTCTAGAACTTTGAGTGTCGTTGGTAGGCATACAGTATTTTACTACTAGGGCCTAGTATTTTAGTTATGATGTGTAGAACTTTGAGTGCGGTTCAGTATTTTTTTTATTAATAGGGCCTAGAACTTTGAGTGCCATTGGTCAGCAAACAGTACTGTATACATGTAAATTTTCGCCCTCGTTTTATTTTCGCCAATGAAAACAGTGTATGAGATAACTCGAATGCTAAGTAACGAGAAGAAAGGCATGACAACAGCAATAAAGGATGAAGAGGGCAAGATCCTGAGCAGTCAAGATGAAAGAAAGAAAAGGTGGAAAGAGCACTTTCAAGAAATATTAAACCGCCCACAACCCGAACATCAATTAGAAGTTGAAAGCGAAGAACAAGTATTAGATTAGATGGATACAAGTCCCAGACGGAAGGAGGAAATTGTCAAAGCTATCAAGAAACTGAAGAATGGAAAAGCTGGAGGAGCATACCTGGTATTGGTAAACAACTGAAATGTTAAAAGCAGACGCAGAGACAACAGCAAGATATTTGGAAAAACTATTTTCAACAATCTGGAAACAAGAAGCTACCGGTATACCATTGGTTTGGAGTAAAGGCCTGATAGTGAAAATCCCAAAGAAAGGTGATAGATCGATATGCGATAATAATAGACGTATAACACTTTTTCTGTGTCAAGCAAAGTATTCTCCAGAATAGTTCTACAAAGAATTCAAGATTGAGTGGAAAAGCAGATGCATGAGAAAAAGCTGGCTTCAGAAGAGGGAGGAGTACAACAGAACAACTATTTACATTCCATAACATCATAGAACAATGCACTGAATGGAATTCAACATTGTTTGAAAATTATGTAGACTTTGAAAGGTCATTTGATTCCATTCACAGAGAGAGAGCCTTTGGTCTATCATGAAGTTTTATGGCATCCCAAACAAACTGGTCAGAATGGTGAAACTCGTATTAGATCTTGTCTTACTCTCCTCAAAATTTCAAGACATCCAGCTAAAGACACAAAGACTTAATGAAATTGGTAGACAAGCTGGCCTCAGAATAAACATCGAGAAAACCAAAGTATTGAAGCTCAACACTGACATAAAAGAGGCAGTCAAGATTGATGGGCAAGACCTGGAGGATGTAGAAACATTTACTTACCTTAGAGGTGTGATAACAAAAAAAAAGGATCTGACGAGGATCGACATTACCAACAGACTGGGAAAAGCTAAGTCCCAATTTGGAAGTCTCAGAAAAATCTGGAGCTCATCAAAATTTTCTATCCAAACAAACGTAAATTTATTTAACAGCTTTGTTCCGTCAGTCCTGATGTATGGAAGTGAAACATGGAAAATATTGGAGAGAGACAAAAAGAAAATTGACACATTCCAGAATAGATGCCCCAGAAAGATCCAAGAGTAAGATGGTCTGAGAAAATGTCAAATGAAGAACTCCATCATAGAACAAAGACGGCTAGACCAAGTGAAATAATAACCCCCAGGAAGTGGAATTGGATTGGCCATGTACTGAGGATGGATAACAACAGGATATCTACCACCGCATTACCATGGCATCCTGAGGGAAAGAGAAAAGTAGGCCGGCCAAAAACAACTTGGAGAAGGACCCCGGAGCAAGAGAGACAACTGGGATGGAATAGCTGGGCGTCAGCGAGGCCAAAGACAGAGGCTCGTGGAGGCAGTGTATTAGGGCCTTATGTGCCGGTGGGCACAAAGAGGGTAGGAGAGGTGAGTTGAGGTTTATTTTCGCTCCTTTCGCCTTAGCCACAGATGGTGAATTTAAAATTCACAGCATGATTTCTTAAACAGAGTTGTAACTGGGCGAATTTAAGACACGGCAAAATTGTTTCCAAGTGTGAAAGGGCGAAAATAAAACGGGGCGAAAATAACCCTGTATACAGTATTTTACGAGGGACTAAAACATACTTAGAGTGCTGTTAGTTGGCAAACTATTTTAATTAAGAGTGTAGAACTTTGAGTGCCGTTTTTAACAGGCAGCACTTTAGTTTGAGTGTAGAACTTTGAGTGTCGTTGGTAGCGGGTAGTATTATATCTTTGGGGTGTAGAAGTTTGAGTAGCGTTGGGGGCGGGCAGTATTTTACCTCTGGGATGTAGAACATTGAGTGCCGTAGGTAGAACTATGAGTGCCATTGGTAGCGGGCAGTATTTAACCTTTGGCATGTAAAATATTGAGTGTCGTAGGTAGAACTTTGAGTGCCATTGGTAGCGGGCAGTATTTTACCTTTGGGGTGTAGAACATTGAGTGCCGTAGGTAGAAATTTGAGTGCCATTGGTAGCGGGCAGTATTTTACCTTTGGGGTGTAGAACTTTGAGTGCCGTTACTTCTTCTGTGTTGTTCGATCATTCCCAACATATCATAAAGTACGTCCATTATGATACTAAACTGAAAAGAAATATAAACAATTAATATGAGTGATCTTTGATCAAAAATAAAACTAATAGTAATTAACCCCTGTGACTAACTTAACAACAAATAAATCAATGATCTGTGATGTAAATTAATCTATATGCT